CGGGCAGCTCGCGGCGCAGCCTCGGCGCGGGGACTGGAGCGGCGGCGGTAATCCGAGCCGCCGAGGCTCGGGCGTCACGTGGGCGCGGCGGAGGGGAGGACCGCGGGGAGGGCGGGCGCGCGGGAGGGGGCTGTGGGAAAGGCCGGGCGGGCGCAGGCCCATTCACGGCCAGAAACCAGGGCTTTGAAATCCGAGCCCCGGCGCTGCCAGACTGGTCGGGCGAGCGGGGCCGGCGGGCGCGGGCGCGGGCGCCACCGCGGGTCGGGGCGGCGCTGGGGCGGGGCCCGCCCAGCTCCCCAAGGCTGTGGATGGGCGGTTGGTTCTTGGCCCCCAGACCACACCTTTTCGCCTTTGGTCTTGGTCTTCAAAGAACACCATGGCGGGATGGAGTCCCTGGTTGCCTCCCGCCAGACGGATACTCGGCACCTCGGGCGCAGGGAGTCACGGGTACCCCCCCCCGCCTTTGGGTGGTTCACTCCTGGGACAGACCCTCCAGTTATTGGGCTTCTTTTCCAAGCGGTATCGATGCCACCCAGGTGGGGTGCCCGAGGCCAGGACTTTGCGGGGTGGCGATTATCTATCTCCTGGCCCTGGGACAACCTCCTTCCTCACTGGTGGGGATCCCTGATGCCTGGGTAGTGCATAGGGAGGCATATATTTGTACGTGGGCCATAAGTAGCAGCAAGTAGTCTGTCTTCAGAGACTCCAGGCAAGTAAACACTCATGGGTTATCCTAGGCTGGGGTTCTGGAAGAGCAGGTATAAGCCCCTATTCCAGGAGCCACTGGGAGCTGGTCAGGCCAAGGCAACGCTTCCCAAAGCCTGGGGATAGGTGAACCCTGGCCTACAGGAGTGGAGAAGTTCTTTCAGCCAAACTAAGTGTTGGGGCACCTGTCCCTCTTCCCCCGAGTGCTCTGGCCTTTCCTCTCATTCCCCAGTGATCTGCAGAGTGTTCAGCAGAGTCCCCTTCATCCAGAAAACCCTGAGGCTCAGCTCCCTTGGGCCTGATGGGGACATGTTCCATTGCCCAAGGGACTCATAATGGAAGTCAGATCAGGATATGAAGAAAGGCAGGGTTCAGGGTTCTAGGGCAGGCCAGAAAGGTGTGGGTCCTAGAAGTGGAGAGCTGGGCCCCAAGGACATAGCTCAGGTCAGGTGAGTGTGCAGGCCCAGTCCTGGGGGTACAGACAACACACTCTGGGGCCAGCAAGAGACCAGATCTTCTGGACAGATGAGGGCCTGGGGCAGCTGCAGTAACAGGTGGGGCACAAGTGCCAGCAGGGAAGGAGTAGACAGGTTCGAGTTAAGGTTTCTGTCATATCTTTATTGGGGCGGGAGTGGGGAGGGTGCACATCATTCAGTAGAGACCTTTGTGCTGACCCCTGTGTGCACATGCATACGTACACACACGTTCATGTATGTATACACAGGCACATGAGACCAAAGCTCTCGGGGCTGAGGTCAAGCTCTTTTCACAAGGGGGTATTAGAAGTTCCGAGACGGATTCCAGAGGATGGGTGGTCTCTGAGGCTGTGGCTCTACCCTGGTGGAATGCCAGCTGTCTGAAGCCAGCGTGCAGCTGACAGCACTGAGAGGAGCTGGGGTGCTGCAGCCTCACCCACTCCCTGCCTTGGGCTGGTGGTCAGGCCCAGCCCTGCTCCTGAGGCAGGTCCTCAGGCTCCTTGGGAGGGTATCCTGAAGACCCTGAGTGCTTCACGGGCCCCTGGTTGGTTGGGCTCTTCTCCATGCCAGGTGTGTCAGAGGACAACTCTCCGGTCCAGGTGGTCCCCACGCCCACTCCGCTGGTGCCTCACTTCCAGATGCTGGTTTTGGACCTTCTCAAAGTGCTGCAGTAGCTCTGCGTAGTCGATGCTGGGCGAGTCGCATTTCTGGGACTTGGGGGCTGCCTTCAGACTGTCTCTGAGGAGGAGTGGAGGACTGAATCAGCGTCTGCAATACATGGGGGCTCCTGGTGGTAGGCAGTGAGAATGGGCAGAGCTGCAGGGTGGTGGGGCTCAGCCCCTGGGAGTCTGTCTGCCCCCTGCCCAGTAACCCCTCTCTAACAGCCAGTCCCCCAAAGCTGGGGAGCCCCAGGCACACCCTCCTCTGCAGTTGGTGGGAACTTGGATATCACTCCCAGGCTGTGGGTTGGCAATGGCGCCCAGAGCAGGCATTGCATGGGGAAGCATTTCCTGTTTATGAGTGGCTCCCTTTGGGGTGAAAGCCAGGGCTAGCAGCCAGCCAGGAAGCCAGCTGGGGCCTGGAACAGGGTCTGGGGAGAAGGGGGAGGACAGCCTGGCTCTTTCTCTAGGGCAAGGCTAGGGCTGGGGACAACTGGGATCACTGAAGTCTCTGATGGGCCCTCACTTGGCAGGACATTTGTTTTTGAGTTTTTGGGCCTTGAGGCCTGCAATTACTCCTTGTCCCTGAGGAAGAAGAGCTGGTCTCACCACTAGATATGCTGATGGCTGTTGCTACCACCCTCCTGTTGTTCTGTACAGCAGCACGGGTTGTGGGCTGCATAGCTACAGTGCACACAGTGCTCCCTGATTGTACAGTGTGGTAAGTAGCCCCGCTGCCCTGCTCAAGCCTGGTGCTTAGCTTACAGGTGGGGACCGGATCCCTTTGGACCTGTCTCATTCCTAACCATCCCTCCAGCAGTGACTCGTGAAATGTTCTGCTGCTGCCTCCTTTGGCCTCACTGGCTTGCAGAAGTAGATCTATGGCGCCTTGTGATCTGGTGGCCTTGGCTAAAAGTCTCATAAAGACTGTGGGCTGCACAGCTAAGCAGAAAGTTTCTGGGTCCTGAGTTCATGATGAGACCCCCAATATAGAGGTGTGTGTGTGTGTGTGTGTGTGTTTGCGCGCGTGCGTGTGTGTGCAGGCAGCCGCTGCAAGCAGGAGTGAGAGGCCTGGACCCACCTCAATAGGATCACTTTCTGGCCAACTGGGCATGCCAGTGTCTCCTCATCTGTAAGTGGGAATTGCCATAAGAGCACTGGGATGATAAGAATTTCTCCAGACAGGACAACCAGGAGCTTAGCTTGGTGCCCAGATCCCATCCAGCTCTGAGGGGTGGCTGCTGTGTCTACAACTCTGTACCTCTGGGGTGAGGCTGGCCAGGCTAGCAGTCCAAGGCTGCGCACACTGGCTGTTCAGTCCATTTTGGGGGAATTGCAATGGAGCTCCACCCAACACACCCTCACCAATGAGCTTGGCTCAGCACAGGAAACCAATGGCCAGAGTCTGATGGCATCTGAAGCTCACCAGGATGTGGGCAGGGGACTACTCCCCATAGCCGAGATACTGTCTGGAGCTGGCCTCCTATGCCCTGCCCTACAACTGTTCCTCCTACCCTTCTGTGAAAGATATACCACCTGAAGCCTCTTGGATGGTATCAAACCCTTGCTTCCTGGGTCAGGGCTCAATATAGATCTGAAGCAGCCAGGCTGGGGTTCACTCTAGGTGGCCTGACTGTGCATACTGCTGCTGCCTGTGCCTTTCCTGGGAATAGGGAGGGATCTTCCTGGCACAGTACCCTGTGGCCAAGGTGCCAGTGCCCTAAGAGAGCAGCAACATGGGCTTCTGAGGAGGCTGAGGGACACTGAAGCTCTAAATCCAGGATGTGTCCAGCTGCTCCCTAACCCACTTAGGCTGGATCAGGGAAAAGGTGTGCAGACCTGGAGAACGAGGCCACAGGGATCATCTGATGGGGGGGGGCGGGGGAACCAGGGATCTGCAAGCTGCTCTCAACAATATCCCCAGCAAACCCGAGGCCTAAGGTCCAAGGCAGGGACTGAAATGAAGGGTTCTTTTTTGGGGGTACTGGGGATTGAACACTGAGCCACATCTCTAGGGGCACTTGACCACTGAGCCACATCCCCAGCCCTATTTTGTATTTTATTTAGAGACAGGGTCTCAATGAGTTGCTTAGCGCCTTGTGCTTTTGCTGAGGCTGGCTTTGAACTTGTGATCCTCTTGTCTCAGCCTCTTGAGCAGCTAGGATTACAGGTGTGTGCCACTGCACCCGGTGATGAGGGCTTCTTAATGAGATGCTGGCAATGGAAGGCAAACCTCAGGATGATGAGCACCGAAGAGACAGGAGTAGGGGGCTGGGAGGAGTGGGCTGCATGAGACTTTGGCAAGTGATAGGTGGACCTTTCCTGGCCTGAGGTCTTGAGTGCAGGGTAGGGTGTGTCCCCTTGGGAGTGGAGGACACTGCCTAGGACCTCTGAACATGGAGGGCAAGGCTTTTCTCCTTGCCTGTTATGGGCATGATCACTGCTCAGGCCCTACATTTTCTGTTTCCAACCACCTGCAGGTACTGGGTGATGGGGACACTGACAGCATCACAGAGCCAGGATTCCAGAACCCAGAGCTGGCCCTTTCTCCTGTCACTACCCATGTACCTGTCACCAGCTTTCAGGGGTTCCCTCTTGCCTCACTGAGGACCCCTGAGAGTGGCCTGGAAGCCTGGAGGGGGTGGGGGCAAAATGCATGGGTGGGTGAGGAGCAGAGAAACTTCCTCAGCTGTTCCCAGCACAGGCCTGTTGGGCAACTCCACACTGCCTGCCAGCTGCCCGCCCCACCCTGGGCTGGGTCTGTCCTTAGCCCCCTTTCCAGAGTGTGAGCTGTTCTTTTGTGCCCAACCCTGCAACCCTCTCCCCCAGCTCTCTCTGAGGCCTCTTCCTCATCCACTGCCTGTGACTATGTTCTCTTTTCCCAGTCCATCCCCACACCTTTGGTGCTGGGGATTGAACCCAGGGTGCTTTACCACTGAGCTACCTTCCTAGTCCTTTTTATTTTTTTATTTTGTGACAGGGTCTTCCTAAAGTTGCTTAGGGCTTCGCTGAGTTGCTGAGGCTGGCCTTCAACTTGCAATCCTCCTTTCTCAGCCTTCTGGATGGTTCTTCTCAGGCCCTTTCAAAGAATGGCTGGGAATTTAAGATCTGAAAGGCTGGGAAGAGCCCTCTTCTCAACCACATACCTATTTATTACAAACGTTCATTTACTTATAAAGAAACCAGTATTCCAAAAAGGGTATGGGGCTTGTCTGAGGCCACAGAGACACATTCTATGCCAGAGCTCAGACGGGATCCTAGTTGAGGACTGTGTCATCTACTGACTCGCAGAATCAGAGAATTCAACCCCTTTGCTCAAGACTTTCTTGACTCAGACCATAGGAGAGTTTGAAGAACTACTCATTTTTTTTTTTCCAGCTTCCCTCTGCAAACTTGTTCTACCTGGATTGGGGAGAATGGGGAAGGGTCTGAGCACTGAGAACCTTCACTCTCCTCCCAAGACAAGAGGCAACGTGCAGAGCTCTTGGAGTGGCTGTGGGTAGTGCAGGGCTTATAGCCTGGCCCAGGGGCCACCAGGAAGGCAGATTCCCCCAGGGGAAACCCGTGGTCACAGGAAGGAGCTCTCCCTCCTTCTTCCTTCCTTCATGCTATTCCTTCCCCTCCTAGGTGCCTTCTAGGGAGCCCCTAACACCTACAGGACATTAAAAAGGCAATGCAGAGGCCAGGCTGGTGAGGTGCTATGTGGCTTCTGGGCCTCTCTCCAAGTCCCTGGGCTGGAGGTGCTCTGGCCGGGGGGATCTGCATGCAAACCCAACCCACCAGTGTCCCTGTTCCCCTGGGACACTCAGAACACTGAATGTTGGCTCTTGGGGATTACCTGGGTGGTACCCTGAGCTACGAGATGGCAGCAGCAGAAGGCCTAGCCTGTCACCTAGAAAGCTGCTGTATGGAGAAAGGGGCAGGAAGGCAGGATCTGGGCCTCATCTGGGAGACCTATCAGACCGTGGCTTCTGCGGAGGCCAGGCTCTGGGGCAAGGTGGCAGGAAACTAAGCCCAGTGGTCCTGAGGGCATAAGGACTTTGGTCAAGGTCTGAATCTGGCAGGTCCACCCCAAGGCTGCCTACGTCCACCCCAAGGGCAAATGCCCAAAGTCTTTTGCTGGAGCAAGGCGCCGGGCCTGCCGAGTGGCTTGCACAGCCGAGGGGGATTCTAGACACACAGGGCATCTGATGCAAGCTGGGTGCGCTCCAGTCAGCGTAAATCTTCTCAGTGGCTCTGCTTGTTTCCATGGTGACCTGACAAGTGAAATTTTCCATCTCGGATGCCAAATGCCTGTGGATGAGGCAAAGCCTCCAAGGGTTACCAAATATAGACACAGCCCAAGAGGCTCTGGGGCCAGGGCCAGCAGTGGGTTCAGGGTGGGAGCGTGGACCCCCCTGCCCAGAGGATGCCATTCTGGGCCTCTCAGAGACCTACTCTTCCTGCAGGCAGGACCCCAGCAGGGTAGCCATGGGTGCATCCTCGCTTCCCGTCCCACCAGGTATGTTGCCGGGAAGGTCCCAGTGATGCTGGGGTCTCTGTGTCCCAGGTCTGAGTCTGTGTTGCAGATGGGTTGGCATGACTGTCTGAGGCCAGGGGGGTGCCCACCCCTGGGCTCTCTCTGGCTTCCTGGTCTGATTGCCATCTGCACTATCTGTCTCATTCCCCTACCCTGGAGCTCTCTCCAGGGGCCTCTACTCGGTGACTCTCAGTTCCTAGACTGAGTCCTGGTCTCACTAAGTGCCCCCACCCCTGCATGGAGAAGACCCTGCTGCTTGTTCACCTTGTGAATAGTGCCAGAAACCCCCAGCCTGGGGCTCTGCAGGACCTAAGGGCTAAGGGCAAGTGGCTGTGGGTGGATGGGGCCATAGTGACAAAGGGGTGGGTGTTGAGGCAGGGAGACTAGGCGGTCCCTTGTGTACCCCCCGCCCCCGCCCGAGCGATCAGGGATGCTGAGGGCAGTGCCCCTGGCCCAGCACTCACTCGGTCTGCAGCAGCTCAGGGTTGGGCACACACTGGAGCCGATGAGAAAGCAACTGGAAGGCACTGCTCTGGGGCAGCAGCATGAGCAGGCCGTATAGAGCCTTGATCAGGTATGGGTTGTTCTTCACGTCCAGCAGCTGCAGGCGCAGATCTGTGGCAGGGAAGAGGGCAGAGGCCAGGGGTCAGAGGTGAGAGATCCCGGAGCTACTGTGAAACTGAAATACATGCAGCCCAGATCCCCTGCCCAGCCTGGCTGGGAGAGGGCCACCCTGGGTACTATGGACTCAGCCTGCAGGGGCTGGCTGAGCGGTTGTGGCTTAGATCTAGACAGGGGCTCCTCCACAGCCAGCCAGGCCTGCCCCCTCCTCCGGAAGTGCCTTAGCCATTTCTGTGATTTCATTTCTCTTCCTACCTGGCCACCTGCCGGTCTCATCTTTTCAGCATTCCCCTTGGTCTGAGGACCCCCAAACCTGCTGCTTGTTCCCCCCCGTCCCTGTGCTCAGCTGCCTCCCTGGTAATAAGAGGTTGGGGGCTTGCAGAGTAACAGATTCCCCAGTCAGTTCTGCACGTGCCAGCACGTGAGCTATAAATAGGGCGAGCTGGAAAGAAAGACAGTGGATTAGGACAGCTTTAAGGGAGGGCAGGATGGGAAAAAGCTTTTGTGTGTAGCAAGGCACATGCCAAGCCTGCAGTGTCTGGGAGGTGCTTCTGGATACCTAACTCAGAAACAGGCTGCTACGACCTCCCAGAGGTCCCTGCCCAGCACCCATTCTGACCTGGGGTGTCCACTGGTGGCCTGCTGCATTCCAAGGCAGTTCCAGCTTCTCTAAGGCCCAAAGGGGAGACTGGCCTGGAAGCAGGCCTTTACTGCTCTCCTCTGAGCCTGTGCAGGAGGATCACTGGCTTCTCCTTTCTGTGTCTCTGGGCTCCATCTCAGGCACCCTCTGTGGACAAGCCACACCTTTTTAGAGTGGCCATGCCTACCCAGCAGCAGGCCGGTGGGACGCTGGGAGACTAAACCGTCAGTCCTTGGAGCCAGGAAGTAGGGGAGAGGCCTCCCACAGTCCTTCCAGGAAGAAGTCACAAATGGTGACCTGACAATTGTCCCCAGGCCTGGTCTATTGATATTGTGAAATACACATCTGGTATTCATCCCAGTGTCCTGGCACACACTTCCTTCTGAATGCTAATGAGGCACCTGATGGCAGACAGGCCCTTGGTAGCTTTAGGATGGGGCTGATCACTTGAAAGGCAGGAGTGGAGAGGACTAAGGGTTGAGCCGATCACTAGCAGCCAGTGATTTAATCAAGCATGGCTAAGTGATGAAACCTCCATAAAATCCCAAAGGACTGGGTTCCAAGAGCTTCTGGATAGTGGGATGTACAAAAGTATCTGCAGGGTGGCACGGCCTTCCTACACCTCACCCCACATGGCTCCTCATCTGTGTCTCTTGGAATACCCTTTAGGAGTAACTGGCAAACATGTTTCCCCAAGTTCTGTGAGATGCTCCAACAAATTAACCGAACCCAAGGCTGCACTGTAGCCAGTTGGTCAGAAGCACAATGAAAGCAACCTGGGGCTTGTGACTGGCATCTGAAGTGAAGGGGAGCAGTTTTGGGAATCTGAGATCTGATGCTGTCTTCAGGCAGTTTCAGAACTGAATTGGATTGGATGGATGTCTGGCTGGTGTCTGCTTCATGTTGCTTGCTTGCTGGTGGGGAGGAATTCCCACACCTGTCAGAGTTGTAGAAGTCCTCTGTGTTGACTGGTGATCAACAGAGGAAACCTGTTTACTATCCACATGGCTTTAGAGAAGCAAGGGACAGTTTTGAGTCATTTCCTCCATTGGGAGTTGGGGAAGCTGGGACTGCCTTGTGTCAGAGCCAGCCACCCACCAGCAGGGTCCAGGCCACTCAGCTGGGATGGGTGCGGGTCAAAGCCAGGCTTGCGTCTCTGCTGTCAATGCCTTGCCCACAGAGGTCCTTGGCTGAGGAGCGGGAGCTGGTGGCTTCTCCAGGGTTAGCCTGGACCTGACCTCAGATACAGTCCTGCCACAAGGAACCCTCAGGAAGTGAGAAGTCAGGCCAGGGCCCCCTTGGGACACAGCTGCAGGGCACTCTGCTGACAACAGGTCTCCTTCTTGTTCTAGGACCTGGGTCACTGGACCTGCTGCTTTGAGAAGCTGGCTCTCTGAATGGAAAAGAGGAAGCCCTGAGCCCCTGCATTTGCTTTGGGCTCCAGAATGAGGGCTGATGGCTTAGGCTGGGTGGACCAGAGGTGCTGCCAGAGTGCTGGGGGCCCAGGCAGCCTGGCCTGGAAGGTAGCCACTAGCAGGGCTGCCCTTGGCTTCTCTACCCCATGTGTGTCACTCAGAGTGTGGCCTGCTTCGGGGAGTAGGCAATGCCTGTGTCGAGGTGCCAAGAGCTGTGCTTACCCCGCCCGCTGCCACTTTAGCACATCTAGCCGGGGTGTTACTCGGCAGGCAGCTCCTGCCCGTTGGCTCCTACTACAGCCATCTCTTCTTTCAGAGAGGAGAGCATGTCTCCTGGGCAAAGAGGAAAACTGGCAGGGTTGCCTGGGTACCCCACAACTACAGAAATGCAGGGCGGAGGGCAGCATGCTAGGGATGGGTGGCTGGGGACAGCCTTGGGTCACGGCCTGATATTAACCTTCAGGTGGGTTTGTGTAAGCACTGGACCATGTCCGAGAGACCCACCTTGAAGAGAGGCAGGACCAAATTCTAATTCCATGTGCCCCAGTCCTGCTCCAGCTGGCCTTTCAGCCTGGTCATCCCCAGCCTTACATTCTTGACATTCCAGAAGCATCCCTGGGATGATCCTCCCTGTGCAGACTAAGCCAAGAGTCTGTCTCTGGGCTTGGCTCCACCCCACCTACTCCAGGCCAGCTAACAAAAGTGACAGAGTGAGGAGCCTTACATGTGAAGATGGGACACTCAATCAGCTGCACCAGTTTGTCCACCTCGGTGAGGAAGTCCACTGTGACCTCCAGGTCCCCACTGGGTGGACAGTCAAGGAAAAGTCTCCCCAGTGGGCCAGCATAGCTGTAGAGTTGGGCCAGGCTGGCCATACCTTCCCAAGAGCCGGCAGAGGCTGGACTGCAGGGGCTTGAGCCCCAGCTCAGAGCTCCATACATCCCTCCCACTTGGCCCTGGTTTCCTGGGCAGAGCCTGGCTCTTGCTAGCCATAATCTGGCATACAAAGGACACTTCTATTCTCCTCTTTGCCTGTCTGTTCCTCCTGTGTGGGTGCTCGGGTTCCCCTCTGGCAGCTCTCTTCTCTTTGCCCCTGTGACTGGGTTGGGGCACCAGGAGTGGTACTGGGCCTGGAGAGGCTCTTTATCATGGTCCTGCAGTCTGCAGAGGGAGGGCTGGGCAGGAAAGGCCCATGTTTCTGAGAGGACAGCCCACCACAGGCCAATGTCAGGGCTGTAGCAAGCAGTAAAGCTGGGCAGTGGCTTCCCTGTCTCTAGGTCACACAAGTGGCCAAGAGGAGCAAGTTCAGGTTGTGGAAGGAGAGAAGACACCCTGAAGGGAGCCAGTCACAGCCACATCTGACTTCCGCTGAAGCACATCACGTCCCTCCTTCCTCCCCTAGCTCCTGGCCCATGAGGAAGGTGGCCACTTTTGCCTCCTAAATAAAGCTCTGATCCACAGTCACACCTCAGGCTCGTACTAGAGGTTAGTTTGCTTTTCAGCATTAAAGAAAATCTGGCCGCGGCCATGGAGGTCTTCAGTAAGGTAGGTACTGAGGTGTGCGCGGGCTCCCCCTCTTGAAGCTTCCTGTCCAGCCTGTTTTCTCTCACTGGGTCATCCGCAGAGCTTCCCAGGCCCTGGCTCTGTGGCCTTGGAAGGTCCCAACAGCACAGCTCAACTTAAAGACCCCACCTAGGCTCTCCTGCAGCAGCCCGGCGTGGTCTTACTCCCAGGCCTTGCCCATCCTCTCAGCCTGCACAAAAATGGTGCAAACTGTGATGTGAAGGCGGCTCTGAGATGGCCGTTCGCTGCAAACAGCATTCTCCAACACGCCCCTCACGGTGCCCCTGGTGGGGTGGCCCAGGTGGCACAGCCCTGGAGTCAGAGGGGAGGGCGGGGCAGGAGTATGGCAGGCCCCCTCCTATCTCTCAGCCGGTTACCAAACGGAAGTGTGAGAAAGGATACAACTTCTGGATGAGGTCATAGGCGTGCCGGTAGTTCTGGGTAAGGAAGCAGAGGGACACCGTGGTGACTGGGTTGTGGCACCAGGAGCGGTACAGGCAGCAGAAGAGGTTCTGGCTCTCCTGGGGAGAGAGCTGCAGCAGTTAGGAGGTCCTGCCCTTCCACTCCAGGTGGACCTGCAGAGAGAAGGACCTGGAAGGGCCTGAGAACTGGGGGCCCTTGGGAGCAGCCAGGGTGCCAACTCAGCACCCTAGCTGTTTGGCAGCCCAGCTGGGAACAAGCTGTCACAAAGGAAACGCTGACAGCTTCTCCTCAGACCCTGTCATTACCTCCCAGCCCCACAGAGCCACGTGGTGGCATGAGGGCCTGGTAGGAGCGAGCCTACCCTTTGTGCTGGCGTTTCTGCCCCTGGCAAAATAACAGTCATTGTCCTCCCCAGAACTCTGTGGTCCTGGAGTCTGGGAGGCTGGGTGGTGTGGGCCAAGAAGTTTCCCCTGGGGCTAGGAGATGCTGGCTGGGTCCTCCTCTCTGTCACCAATGCCATTTCCTCCCCGCTGGCAGCCCACCTTGTATGTTTGGCCTTCATCGGACACCAGCCCAGAAGCCCACACTCGGAGGAGTCCCTACCGCTAAGAAAAATTCTTAAGCCCTCTGTATATGTATGGAAGGAACCACAGGAGGAAGGCAGGGCTGTGGCCTGGATCATTCTGAGCTCCTTGGCCCCAGACGCCCTCAGATATGGGCTTAGATGTCCTTGCGACTCCTGGGAGGTGGGTAAAGGCAGGATCCACAGGGACTGAGCTGGGCAGAGGAGCAGAGGGGAGGTGACCAAAGCCCAGATCGGGGAATAAACCCCTGGAGCTCCTGCATGAAGGACGGTGCCAGCCCCTGGTGGCCTCTGCAGCCTACTCCCTCCCTCAGCTGGGATAAGAGGGGCCTGATGGCTGTCTCTCCCTGTCTTGCACAAGTACCTCCCTCTTTTCTCTGACCAGCCCTTGGGTGTCCTCAACCAAAGGACTGTGCAGGCAGCAACATGACACCCTGTAAAGGTCTTTTATGAGACAGAATGTGTCCAGCTTTGGGAGAGGGGCCAGGGCAAGGAGAAGGGGGAGAACAATTAAGCCCTAGTTCCCCCGCAGGTCTCTGATCCAGAAGCCTGACCTAAGAGGTGGCCTTGCCCAGCAGGTGGGCCCTGAGCCAGGAGAGCTGTGGTACCAGGTGGAGTCGGGTCAGTGAGTAGAGAAGTCAGGGCTGCTGGTGGGTCAGGCAGGGCACATGGACCTTGCACAGGGCATGGAGCCTTCTGCGGGCAGAAACCTCAGCAGTGTGTGACTCACTCCATAGCTGGCTGTTTACCCTCCACATTCTACCCTGGACCAGGGAAGACCTTGACTTCATCTCTGTTTCCTCTTGGGCCAGGCTGAGGGGACACTGGGTGCCTGTTTGCACATGGCCTAAACCAGGGGTCAGAGCCCATGGGCGTGGAGTACCAGAGTCTTCAGGTCCTTGAGCTGATTTCTTAGCTGGAAGAGTTCGGTAGAGGTGAGCAGGATGGTGTTGAGGGTGTGCACCATGGTAGAGGCAAACTTGAGATCCTCCTCCCGGAGTAGGATGTCCGCCATTGAGTGGAAGATGTTTTCTGCGTTCAACAGGAGACAGAGCTGCCTGGAAAACAGGGAGAGCGGCACTTATGCTTAGGTCACCCTGGATGCCTCTGGGCCTCGACCTGGGGAGCCTCCTCCTAGGGGTGCTACTACTCCTTAGCCACATTCCCAGCCTTTTAAAAACTTTGAGACAGTTTCACTAGGTTGCCCAGGCTGGCTTTGAACTTGTGATCCTCTTGCTTCAGCCTCCTGAGCCTCTGGGATCACAGGCGTGTGCCACCATGCCTGCTAGCATTCTTATTCTTGTTTTTGCAGTGCTGGGGATTGAGCCCAGCACCTTGCACATGCTAGGCAAGTGCTCTACCACTGAGCTACACCCTAAGCCCTAAGCCTCCTTTTCTGCCTGGGCAGATCTCCTCTTCATCTGAGAACTTCTTCTCACATGGGTCACTGTTACTGTCCCCTCACAAAAGCCTCTGAGGTCAGGGGTCTGTGCTGCTCATGTGCATCCTCTGCTGGGGGGACAGCTGCAGACGCAGGGGCTTGGTAGGCACCTGTGGGCTGAATGGCCCTTATGACAGCTTTATCCTCAGAGTACAGATGAAGAACCTGGAACAGGGAAGTGAAGTGGCTTTGCCAGGGTGGCAGCATGAGGGGGACCAGCCCCAGCTCCACTGGTGCCACAGGCCATGTTTCTTCTCTGAGTCCTGGGGGTGGGACTGGGCTTGGTGGAAAACAGCCTCCATGCTATAAAAGAAGAACCCAGGGAGTGAAGGAAAGCAGGTTCTCCAGGTCCTGAGGCAAGGGGATGTCAACAGTGGACAAGGGGGTCTTGAGGACAGACTCAGAGGAAGCCTGTTGACCTGTTCATTGGGCCACGTGCTCTCAGAGGCCCAGCCTTGAGGGAAGAGCACTTCAAGGTTACCTGGGCAATAGCTTCCCAGTTGGGTGGGGAGGCAGGACTGGGAAGAGGACAGGACTGGTGAGAAGGTGGGTGGGTGGCATGGTGTTTTTGTTGGTGTGGGCTGATGGCCTGTGGCACCTTGCCCTTACAGTCTCCCATCTGGGGCTGTCATCATCTGCCTGACTCCTAGTCACTGCCCCAGGATAGCAACACCACACACCAGACACCAGACACCAGACAAGGGGTTAAGGCCTCAGGGTCCTGCGTGCCGAACAACAAGAACCACATTTTGAGGCAACATGCCTGAAACATGTCCACTTCCTCCCAGGCAGTCAACTCATCTGGAACTCTGGGAGCATTATCAGGAACTGGTTTCCTGTTCCCTTTGAATACCAGCCATGGCTTTGGGACCAGGCTGGAGAAGATTCAGCCCCACCCCCAAACCGGGAAAAGTCCCCGAGCATTTGGTAATGGAGAGGACAAAGCACGGAGAGCAAACAGTGGGCAGGCCGTCGGCAGCCTAGCCCCAGCTGGAACCCACAGGCTTGGGCAAGAGACCATGAGAGAAACCCAACCAAGTCCGAGGCACAGAGGAGCTGGGTGGTGTGGGGGTGGGGGGAAGTGGACAAATGGACAAGGGGCCACTTCATCTCTGACTCACATACTGGCCTGGGTGGCTCTCCCAGCACTAGGGGGTGAGTACAGGCTTTGGAGCCTGATGGCTCAGGCCACCAGCTGTGTGACCTCAATGTCTCTGCGCAGCAATGTCGTCAACTTTTAAGTGGGGCAATGCTTGCCTGTAAAGTGGGGGAAATACTTAGTGGTCAGACATGTCATGTGAGATGCCAGTGTTCAGCATGAGCACACAGGGGCCAAGGCCCCCAGTGTGGAGGTGACAGCCGGCCTCCTTCCTCACGACTTGGGACAGTACTTCCTGTCCCCTCTTCATGCTCCCACCCCTAGATGAGTCCTGTCTCCAAGGCTGTGGGACAGAAATGTTCCAGAAGGGCAGGCCGGGGTGGAAGGGGAGTGTTCTGACAAATGGTCACAAATGCCCGTCGCCTGCAGCTGCTGCCGTCTCCATGACAGAGGCTAGCAGCTGAGCTGCTGCCAGGCAGCGCTCTCCAGGAACCTCAGGCTGGCCCAGCCCAGCAGGGACCTGCAGCAGCTGGAGGGCAGGGGTGGCCTCTCGTGAGGATGAGTCGTGAGTTTCTGAGGGGAGGAGGGACAAGAGGATTGGTGAGGAGAGGCGGGTGCCAAGGTCTCCTGGTGTCCCAGAGAACCTAGGGAAAGGGACACGTTACAGATCAGGGATGTTTTCTGGAAACACTTTTCTTTTGTTGCTGGTGACACGACCCTCTCCTGGTTTTCCTCTCGCCTGACTGCGCCCCTTCCTCTGAGGGTGGGGTGTCCCTCTGCTCGTCTCTGGTCTGCATCTCCCAGTGGTCCTGATGGGATTCTGGATATGTTCGGAGTTGCCTGGCGATCAGGGGCGGCCCTGGCCCCAGCCCTGCTGAGCTCTGGGTGGGACAGCACTTGTCAGGTGGATGGCCCTGCTCAGCCATCTACAAGGCATTTCAAACTTCGTAGGACCACAACCCCATTCTTGGTGTCCCTGGAGACTCCCTTCCTGTCTCAGTAACGACGTCACTGCTCACTCAGTTGCTCAAGCCCAACCCAAGGAGCCCTCCTTCATCACTCGGCCCTGCCATCAGGCCATTAGGTCCAGGAGCCTCACCTTCAGAGCACCTCCTGCCTCGGCCTCCTGGTCCCATCTTAGCTACCATCGCACCAGGGCAAGTGCCAGCCACGTCTTGCTGGGTCTCTCTCCTGCTATTTCTCTCACCCTCCCCACACAAGCTGGGGCCATCCTATGGAATGCACGGCCAGCCCTTGCTCTAGCCTCGTCAGGGGATTCCTCCTGGATCTAACACAGAGCCCGGCTTGTCCTGTCCTTCACTGGGGATGTCCCAGCCTCTCGGGCTTTTCTTCTGTTCTGGGTCTCACTTTGCCTGCTGTGCCTAAAGGCTCTGCCATGGCCTGGCCCATGGCTGGCTCCCTACTGTGACCAAGGTCTCAGCTCCACCCTGAGTCCTGGGGAGGCCACTCTGATGTGCCCTCTCCTCCCACCAGCCCTTTCTAAGAATGGGACCAATGTCTTTCAGAGTGTCAGTCACTATGTCACGTTGTGTCCTTGTTTGCTGGGTTCCTGTCTCACTCACTAGAATATGAGTTGCAAAGGCAGGGCCTTGTCTGTGACCCGCGTGAGCCTCAAACCAAGAGGGCCTGGTGTCCGACAGCCTCTCCATCATCACTGTTAGGTGTCACTGAACAAAGGGACCTTGCTTATCTTAGAGTCTTCATGCTAGACTCCATTCCAGCACATTCTCTCTGCTCACCTCAGTCAAGTTCCTGCACACTGCCCTGACATTACACTTTCGCCCTCATGCCCACCAGGCCAGGGCCTCTGGTGAGGGGGGCACATCATGGTGGGAGCACATAGTGGAGCAGACCACTTACATGAGAAGGCAGAAAGCAGAGGCACTGAGGAGAGAAGTCTCACAATCCCCTTCAAGGTCATGTCCCCAGTGACCTAAGACCCTCCTATAAGGCCCTACCTCCTGAAGGCTCATAGCAACTCCCAGCAGCACCACTCCGAGGACCAAGTCTTTAACATGTGGCCCTTTGGGGCACACTATTCACACTCAAATCAGCACCTCCTTGTCAGGAGTTCCCCGCTGGAGACAAGACTGCAGAGGGGAGGGAGAGCTAGGAACAGGCACCAGAGCGCACAGTGTTGGGGAGCCCTCCAGCATGCTCTGGACATTTGCTGCTTCCCTGGCCCCAGGAGGGTGCTGGGCAGAACCAGGAAGGGCTCCTCGGGGGTCAGTGGCTCCCAGGGCTATGTTCCTGGCAGTGCCAGTCCTGTGGCTGTGGCAAGGGGAAGAGAACAGAGATGAGGGCCAAACTTGCTTCACCCCAAGACATTCTTGGTTTGGGGATATGGAATCTCCCAGGATGCAGGTCACAAAACCTCAAGGAGAGGAATAATAGTGACGGTTTTAGCTAAGTCAGGGCACCCTGAATAGACGACACGTGCCATGTGAACCTCCCGGGATCCAGCCAGGCAGTGATGGCCGGGAACAGCAGCTCCTATTCTGTTCTGGGTCATCACCAGGTACACGGCCCTGTCCTGGGTGCCCAGGGCAGAGGGGAGGTGGAGGGGAGGCTGAGTCTGGGTCCTTCAGCTGGACCCTGTCTTGGAGAGCTCTGAGGTCACAGCAGGATGCCAGTATCTACTCTGGGATCAAGAAGTGGGGAAGGAAGAAGGGGGGTCCACTTTTCATTGCAACCACAATCCATGACGGGATCTGCACAGGCAGCCTCAGTTTCCATGTGCCTGGCCCTGGCTTCTGAGCCCCTCCTGTGGCTTCTTCTTTTTTTTTTTTTTTAAATTTTTATTATTGGTTGTTCAAAACATTACAAAGCTCTTGACATATCATATTTCATATATTTGATTCAAGTGGGTTACGAACTCCCATTTTTACCCTCCTGTGGCTTCTTGCTGACTCCTCACACAACCCGGGCAGGCACAGAGGTTATAGGATTAATACCCCCCTGAAGAGGAGTCTGAGGTTCAGAAAGGACCCACACCATCACTCACACAGCTAACCAGGGGAGGGGGAATGGAGATTCAGAGCTGGAAGAGTCAGCTTCAGAGCCCAAGTTTCTCTTCAACACTCTGTTTCTCTGGTGCCCATCCCTGCTGGGTAGAGGCCTGGCAGATGGCTGCCTCGCAGGGCTGCTGCGTCATCACTTCTCTGTTGAGCCCCAGCCCGGCTTGAGCAGCCTGCCTGGCTCTCAAGCATAGCGTCAATAATGGAACACAGCTTGCAAGTATTATACATTTGCCCATATTTTTTCATACCCACATTAAAGTGCTATTCATCATGAGACAATGGCCTGGAAAGTGCTTGGGGACAAGGCAGAGAGGTGGGGTGGGAGGGAACCTGAATGAGGACACAGGGCACCTCTTGCGCCATCTTGGAGGTGGACAGGATGCACATCCATATGTGCTGAGTTGGTAAGAGACCTCTGGTGTGCAGCCTGACCGGGGAGTGGGGTGGGGAGGAGGACAGCCGTGGCCAGGAGGGAGG